AGTGAGGCGAGGGAAGGGCGGGCGGAAAAGGGAACGGACGGGCGAGGAGGGGGCGCGCGGGGGCGGCGCAGCGGCGGCGGGAGCGACGGAAGGCAATCGAAGGGGGGCGGCGGGAGCGAGGAGGGCGAGAAGGAAGTTCCAGGAGGGTGGAAGGACAACGGGGGGTGAGTAGGGAGGGGGACAGGACGGCAGCCTGACACAAAAAGAACTGAATACAATTTTCGCAAACGGAACAAAACGCGCAGCGCGTTGGACGAGGGGAGGAGGAAGGAAGAGGGGGGGGCAGGAGGATTGGCGCGAAACGAAATGGGGGTGCGGGGCGCGATGCGACGGGGCGAAGTGGCGCCGCGTCGCGCGACGTGACGTCACCCCCACCGTGGCGCGACACGCACAGCCCCCAATCAACGCGAGGCGTCTTCGTCCTCAGCAACGGTTGGCGCCCCCGAAAATGCGCACCAGCAAATCCTCTTGCGCCGAATTGGAAACAGCACGCGTTGGTGGACCGTCGAACTAGAGTGCGCCACGACAACCAAAATGGCTGCTGGTGCACCGGCGTCGGAAACCGATATATCGCCAGAGAAATTCCGAAGTCGCGACATATGTCGCCCACGCACTCTGGGAGGCCAGGATTCGGGACAGAGACGCAAACCAGGGCCGGCGCACGGGCGACGCTCGGGCGACGCACTGAACGAAACTTAGGGGGGGGGGGGGGTCGCTTGACTGGGCCTTAACAGCAGCACAGGCAGCGCGGTCAACCCTGGGACGGTCCGCTACTGCGGAGCTTTCGCGCGCTGTAGGGCGCCGCGCGAAGGCGTTTGCCCCCGCCGCCGCACGCTCCTCGTCCACCAATTCCGCCTGGTCGCGGGGGAGCTGGTGGAGCGCCGCCCTACCGTGCCTGTCGCCCGTTTCCAGGGCCAGGGGTAGGAGCGGCCAAAGGCAGCAGCCGCCTGCCGGGTAGCGCCGCCGTTCGTCGGCCTCGGCGTTCACGGCGCTGTTTGTCGGGCAGCCGGTTCCTGCGCAGCCTCGCCGCTGGGCACGGCGTAGCGGACCGTCACGTATTCAAGTGCACGTGGACAGACCGCCCGCTGCACCTCGAGGTTGAGGACAGCGTGTTTGCGGCGAACGCCCACAGGCTGACCGCGACCGCCAAGGCTGCCCCGCGCACGTCGCACGTCGCACGTCGGCCGCGCCCTGTGGTACCAGGTGGGGACGTGGACACGACGTGCTACCTGGAAGCCGCCCTCCCGGATGAGCCCCCACACGTCCTCGACATCCGCGCTGCGGGCTTTTGACGCGCCCGCCGCAGGAGCATCGAAAGGCGAGGTGTCCCTGGCTGCAGAGCCGCTCGCTGCAGAGGCGGTCAACGCGCGGGTTGGTGCGCGTGCGGTTCGCGCACTGGGCCCCCCAGCGGCGCGGGGCCCTTGCCGAGGAGCTCGCAGGCCGTACTGCATGAGTCTGCGTCGCCGGGGCGCTGTCCCGCCGCACCCGTCGAGGCCAACTGCCAGCCTCTGGTGCGCGGGCCACCGCACGAGGCCGGTCTCGCCCGGTCCTCGCTGGTGCTGGTGCTACACAAGGCCGAAAAGCTTTCTGGGTCCAGCCGCCGCGTGAGCTCCTCCTCCTCCTCCTCCTCCTCCTCCTCGTCCTCCTCCTCCTCCTCCTCCTCCTCATCATCATCATCAACATCATCATCATCACCACCACCACCATCATCATCATCAGCAGCAGCAGCATCATCATCCTCGTTCTCCTCCTGCTCCTCCTCGTTCTCCTCCTGCTCTTCCTCCTGCTGCTCCTCCTCCTCCTGCACTTCAGTTCCTCGGACAAGCAGTGGTATTGGCGCTCCTTCTCCTGCTCCTGCTCTCCTCTTCCTCCTGTTCCTTCTCCCCGTGCTGCTCCTCCTCATCCTCCTCCTTTTCCTCCTCCTCCTGTTCCTCCTCCTCCTCCTCCTCCTCCTCCTTTTCCTCCTCCCCTCCTCCTCCTCCTCCTCTCCTCCTCCTCCTCCTCCTCCTCCTCCTCCTCTCCTCCCTCCTCCTCCCTCCTCCTCCTCCTCCTCCTCCTCCTCCTCCTCCTCCTCCTCCTCCTCCTCCTCTTCCTCCCCCCCCTCCCTCTTACGCTCCCCCTCCTCATCCTCGGGGGGATGGAGAAAAGGAGGCGAGGGGAGGCTAGGACAAGGGCGCGGCAGGAGGGAGGGACCAGAGGAAAGCATGGGGAGAGTTCGGCCAGGACGGGTGGGAGGATGAGGAAAGTGAGGAAAGGAGCAGGAAGCTTGAAGAAGGGGTGCGGGATGGAGAACGAGGAGGGGAATCAAAAGAGGGAGGATCAATAGGAGGGAGAGATCGTGATCCACCGCCACTTTACTGTGGAAAATTCCCAACCTTTTCCTCCGGAACCCGGGGGTCGCCCCCCCCCCTCCGAAAATCCCCCCCCCCTGCTGGACCCCCCCCCCCCCCTTCCCCCCTGGCAAAACCCCCCCCTCCCCCAACCCCCCCCCCCCCCCCCCCTCGAAAACCGAGGGGGGTCACTACCGGTTCGAACCCCTCCCCCCCCCCCTCTCCGGATCCGGAAAACCGGGGGGGGGCCACTACCGGTTGGAGCCCCCCCCCCCCTCGAAAACCGGAGGGGGGTCACTACCGGTTCGACCCCCCCCCCCACGCACCGCCAGCAAACGACTCCCGGTCCCTACCACCGCTCGCATCACATCCCCCACTGTTGTTCCCAGCACCACTGTCCTCACCACCACTGTCCCCACTGGTTCCACCACCGTCCCTATTGTCCCCACCAGTGCCCCCACCACTGTCGCACTGTCCCCACTGTTCCCACCACTGTTCCCACCACGGTTCCACTCTCCCCACTGTCTCCACGGACCCAACCACTGCCTATCCCCACTGTCCCCACTGTCCCACTGACTCCTCCGCTGTCCCACTGAGCTGTCCCACTGTTCCCACCACTGTCCCCACTGTCCCCACCACTGTCCCCACTGTACCTGTGTCCCATTGTCCCACCGCCGTCCTCGCCACCGCCTCTACCACTGTCCCCACCACCATTGTACCCTCCACTGTCCCACTGTTTCCACCTCATTCCCACTGTCCCCACACCACTGTCCCCACCACCACCGTCCCCACCACTGTCCACTGTCCCCCCTGTTCCCACCATTGTCCCCACCACTGTCCCCACCACTACCGTCCCCACCACTGTCCCACTGTCACACTGTCCCCACCACTGTCCCGCCGTCCCCTCACCACTGTCCCCACCAACACCGTCCCCACCACTGTCCGCACCCCCACTCGGTTTTCGAGAGGGGGGGGGGGTTCGAACCGGTAGTGACCCCCCCCCCCTTTTCATGATGAACTGGGGGGGGGGAGGGGTTCGAACCGGTAGTGACCCCCCCCGGTTTTCCGGAGGGGGGGGGGGGGGAGGGGTTCGAACCGGTAGTGACCCCCCCCGGTTTTCCGCCAGCAGCGGTAGAACACGCTCTTTCGTAGGAGGAAATGCTCCTGCCGTGTAGCGCTTAAGAGCATCCGTGCCCGAAAGGTCGGGAAAGCCAACGCGTTTGTTTCAGAATATGCGATAAGGCCAGATAATCGGATTAGGTACTACACCTTCAGCCGAGCATTCAGAAGGATTCATATGTTCCCTTTTGCTCCCCTCCCGTAGCCAAAAGTATGATAGCGGGAGCAGGGAGGGGGGTGAGGATGGGAGAGAAGGAGTAGGGAGTTAAGGGGGAAGCAGGGAGGATAAGGAGGAAGGAGGCAGAAGGGATAGCGAGGAAGAGGAAGGAGGGTGAGGTGGAAAAGGGAGAGGGAGGCACGCGGGAGGGAGGACGAGGATGAAGATGAGGAGGATGAAATCATGGCAGGGACGGGGGGCATGAAACAGAAAGGGTACCCTATGCTTTTCCGACTCCTCCGTGTGAATTTCACGCAGCCCCCATCGGGGCTACCACCATCATCATCAACATTATTATCATCATCATCATCATCATCATCATCATCATCATCATCATCATCATCATCATCATCAGCAGCAGCAGCAGCAGCAGCAGCAGCATCAGCATCCTCATCATCATCAGCAGCATCATCATGATCATTATCATCATCAGCATCCTCATCATCAGCATCATCGTCATCATCATCCCCATCAGCATCACCATCAGCATCATAATCATCAAAGTCATAATCATCATTAGCATTATTATCATCATCATAATCAGCAGCATCGTCATCATCATCTTCAGCATCATCAGCAGCACCATCATCATCATCATCAGCATCACCTTCGTCCTCCTCCTCATCATCATCAACATCCTCCACCTGATCCTCATCCTCCTCATCCCAGCCGTCATTGTAAGCGATCATCACCACAACCATCATCATCATCATCGTCGTTGTCAAGATCGTCACCATTATCATCATCATCATCATCATCATCATCATCATCATCATCATCATCATCATCATCGTCATCATCGTCATCATCACTATCACCATCACCATCACCATTACCATCAGCATCACAACCACCACAATCATCATCAGCAGCATCACCATCATCACCATCATCATCATCACCTCCATCACCACCATCATCACCATTACCATCACCATCACCAACACCGCCAGCATCACCATCATTATCACCATCATCACCACATTCAATCACCATCACCATCACCCTCACTAGCATCTATCACCTTATCGTCATCGTCATCGCCAACACTACCCCCGTCACCACCACCATCACCATCACCACCACCACCACCACCACCACCACCACCACCTCCACCACCATTTCCACCGTATCCATCCATCACCATCACCATCGCCATCACCCCCACCATGTCCATCAACAACACAATCGTCGTCGTCCTCGTCATGATCCTCATCCCCATCCCCATCCCCACCGCTCATCCCCATCCTCCTCGATCGCCGATCATCCCCCATCCCCACCCTCACCGGCCATCGACCATCACCACCACCACCGCCCTCCTCCGCTCGCTCGGGGCGTCCTCGGGCATCCAGCAGGCGCGCGGCAGGGCACTCGCTCGCGGCCCCCGCGCGGACGGCCGCCGCCCCCTCCTTTAAGGAGGGCGTGCGGGGAGGCCGGACGCCCGGCGCCTCTCGTGGGGTGCAGGGCGATGCGGCTGGCGGCCGGCGGGTTCCCCCCCCCCGGGATCCGGCGTCGCGACAGAAAAAATTGCGGACTCGCGAGGACTCGGATTTCCCGAGAGGGGGTTCTCGTCGGCTCCGGCGTCGCGGAACAAAAAAGATCCGGCCTCGCGAGAATTGGGATTTTCCCAGGGGGTCCGTCGGTTCCTGGGGGCTCTGCTGGGGGGTTCTCGTCGGCTACGGCGTCGGGAAAAAAAGATCCGGCCTCGCGAGAACTTGGATTTTCCAGGGGGGGGTCCGTCGGTTCCTGGGGGCTTTCCTGGGGGGTTCTCGTCGGCTCCTGGGGGTTGTCCTGCCTCGGGCTGCGTTCCAGCAGCTGCGCTCGCCGAAAGCATCTCCTGGAGTGCACGCGCTAGGGCCCGAAAGCCAAAACAGTCGGAGGACGGCCTGCGAAGCGAGCCAGTGGGGATTCGGGGTGACCGCACTATTCTTTCGGACGCCCGAAATGGGTACGTAGAAGGTGGGTACAATGTCCAACGCCGGCCGCTGATGGACAGGCAGCCTTCTGTCTCAAATGGACACCGTCCACGGCGACACCGACAGCAAGCCCGTTCAAAATGAGTAGGAAGTGCTGTCGGTCTTTGTGCCCATACTTTCCGTACCCATTTCGATGGTCCCGAGTTCTATTGGGGTCGTTGTCCGAGGATGATGATAGGGTCTCTTGGAATGACTGCCTCTTGGAGGCGTCTCAGGAATCTGCGGCGCCTCTTGTGGTGCCTCTCTGGGGCCTCTTCGGAGCTCCCAGAAGGTTCCTGAGGCATATAGGGCGCCTTTGGGGCGCCTTTTGGCTCCCTCTGCCTCACAGGGTGACCGCACGGTTCAAGGGTTGGGGTCGTTCTCCGAAAATGCCCGGCCGACTGGGTCCACGTCGCGGGGCCAAAGCGTGCGGTGAGGCCTCTTGGGGTTCCGACGCCACCTCATGGTCCGCCATCGCACCGCCTCCGTCACCTTTGGGGGGTCCGACGTTTTGGGGTTCCGACCCTTGGGGGCTCGGACCTCCGGATCGCACCGACGCCATCGCACGCCACCTGCGGGGGTTCCGACGCCACCGCACGCCGCGAAGAAAAACTGCAACATCACGAAAAATCACCCCAAATCGGGAAACGAACTCTATACGCCGACGCTTTTTCCAGCTTCGCACTGAAATTCGAAGAGGAAGCGGATCCTGGTGCATACGGGACCCAGATGTATACATTTATCGCTGTTTCCCCGGGGGACGGAGAAGAAAAGCACACACCACACCACCCCGACCTCGCCCCCGACCCTCAAAAACATCCTGGGATTGAAAACCAGCCCGCCGCTGGTAGTGTAGATGCTCCAGTTTCCGACATCGCGAACAATCGACCCAAAGCCCATCTTGCCGCGGCACTTCCCTGGGCCGCAGCGCTCTGTGGCGGCCCCTGGGGCCCGCAGCGGGGCGCAGACGCCCGGCGTGACAGACTGGCACCCTCGCGACAGGCCACGGCCAGAGCCCCAGACGCCCCGCTGCCCGCGGCATCCTCCGGGCCGCATCGATACGTGGCGGCCCCAAAGGGCCCGGAACCGGTCGCGTGACCCAGACATGCGCCGGTATGGTTTGTTCCACCCGCGGCCCCACAGGTCCTCCTCCTCCTCCTCCTCCTGCTCCTCCTGCTCCTCCTCCTCCTCCTCCTCCTCCTCCTCCTCCTCCTCCTCTTCCTCCTCCTCCTTCCCCGGATCCATTTCTGAGGGCCTCTTCGGGCCCGAAGAGGCCGAAATCAGGGGCAGGGGAGCAAGGAGAGGGGGGGCGGGGGAAGCGAGGGGGAGGCGGAGGAGGGCGAGGACTCGGGAGGAGGAGGAGGAGCAGCCGGGATTCGGATTCGGATTCGGAACGCTTGCGTAGCAAGATCAAGAGACAAAATTTGGGATGCAGGCGGAACTCAGATAAAGAAGTCCATGAAGCAGCACGACCTGGCTTCATAGTGAATACCTCCAGAAATGAGTGGCACCTTCGGCGAACGAAATACCAAGCTTAACTGAAATGAGCTCCGCTCGATTCGGGCCTCTTTGCGAAAGTAACTGGCCAACCTCCAACCAATCATGAAGATCGCGTCGTCCACAGACAGCCTCGCAGAACGGCACCGCAGCCAAGAATGCCAGCCAAACTATTCATCCCTTCCACGCGAGAATGCTGCACCCAAGTTGAAATAAAAGAGAAATAGCTCCCAGAACCACGCTCTCGCGAAAAAACCGCCGCCTAGGTGGGTCTTAGAAGGGCTCGAAGCCCCCGTGCCCCCCGGTTGCGGACGGGATGCCGATGAAGAGGTCCAAGGAGAGCACACCGACGAACACAGCCGCGCTCCGCGTCCCGAGTGGGACTTAGATGGGCTCGAAGCCACCGTGCCCTTCGGTGCGGACGGGATGCCGAGGAAGATGTTCGGGAAAGTGCGAAAATTGAAATACAAAACTGCGAAGGCGTAAAATTTGCCCATCTTTGCCATCCCACACCGAGAACAACTGTCTTCAGAACGGTTCTGTGGTGGGAGCTCCCCAAGCGCCACGAGAAGGCAATGGGCTGGGCGTTCCATGGCTAGATCGAGCCCAAAAGGGTACGATGCTTTGGGCCACCCATGCTTGAGAGGAGGAGCAGCAGGGAGAAGGAGGAGGAGGAGGAGGAGGAGGAGGAGGAGGAGGAGGAGGAGGAGGAGGGAGGAGCAGGGAGGAGCAGGGAGGAGCAGGGAGGAGGCCGAACTCCAGGAAGATCCAGGAGGCTGATATCCTCGGACCTTTGGGGACGCCCGGCGTGAAAGCATCGCCACGCACTGCCGGATCTCAGGGTCGGGGAAGGGTCTAAGGGCGGGGCAGTGCAGACCCGGCGGGGACGCGCCGCCGCCTTTTGCAGCGGCGGAGTCCCCGGGGGGGCGGAGAGACCAGGAGGGGGGCCCCCCATCGCGGGGGAAGAGGCGAGGGAGGTGGGCGAGAGCCCAGAGATCCGAGGATACAGTTTGTTCAGACCGGCGGTTCTTTTTCCGGATTTCGGCCTTCTGGGGCTCGTGATGGGGCCAGGGGAGTCCACAACGGATCCGCGCCGACGGAAAACCAACCCCAGGGAAGGGGTCAGGACCTCCAGGGCCGCGGATCGAGAAAATCAGATCGGCGGATGTCTGCGAGTGGAGGCGAGGGAGAGGAGTGGAGGCGAGGGGCGCGAGGAGGGAGGAGGCGAGGGGAGGAGAGAAGACGGGAGGGAGGGAGACGAGGGAGAGGAGAGGAGGCGAGGGGCGTGTGGAGGGAATGAGGGAGGGAGAGGAGGCGAGGCGAGGAGCGCGAGGAGGGAGGCAGGCGAGCAGAGGAGAGGAGGCGAGGAGCACGAGGAGGAGAGGGAGGGAGGCGAGGAGAGGAGGCGAGGCGCGTGTGAGGGGGGGAGGCGAGGCGAGGAGCGCGAGGGGAGGGCAGACGGCGAGGAGCGCGAGGTGCCGCAAAAAACACGGGCCCGAGCCTTCGGCAGCCCGCGATCGGCCGAATCGGAGGCCACGGGGCAGCCACACGCGCCGAGGCCTGCGGCTCCGGCCTCGGCGATCACCATCTAGGGGGGCGGGCACTGACAGAACACCGTTTGGGGGAGCAAGCAGTGACAGAACACCGTTTAGGGGAGCAAGCCCGCCGGCGCCCATCCTGCCAACACCCTTTAGGGGAGCAAGCACAGACAGAACCATCCAAACTCGGAGGTCCGTGCGGATCTTTCGGATCGGCACCTGGCAACCCCCCCACTGGCGTGCAGAGCGCGCCAAGGGCGGCGCCAGAGGCGCCGCCAGGGGGCCCCAGCGCAGATCCCAAGAAATCCTCGCGGACCTGGTGAACGTTTTTCTTATTCGGCGTTTCGATATTGGGCGGAAGGGGGGGGGGTCTGGCTCCGGACCTCTGCTCAATGCAGCTGTTTGCAACAGTGCGTCCTATGGGGGAGACCCCACCTGCTTGAAACAGGCGCCAAAAACAGCCAAGATCTGGTCCATGGGGTGGGGTGGGGTGCGAGGGCCCGCGCCGATCGGCAAACCCATGAATGCGACAACGATCGCCTGTGAGTTGTTCTATGCTTCTGTCATGGTCTGCTCCGCTGACCCAGCCCCCCGGGCCCCCCCCGGACCGCCCCCGGCGCCTCGTTCCTCGTTCCCGGGGCCCGACCCCGACAGCGACGGCGGCGGCGGCGCCAGCGGTAGCAGCAGCGGGCGGCGACGACGACGACGACGACGACAGACGTCGACGACCTCCAGTCTCCAGCCTCCTCACGGCCCTCCAGGCCGCCCCCGCCCCTCCCACCCGCCGGTGGCTGTCGCGCGGATCGTCTCGCCCTGCACGACCGCGGCCCTCCATCGCTCGACACCGACCCCCTTCCGGGCCACCCGCGGCGTGCAGCCTCGAACGCCCGTGCTGGGGTCGCCGCCGCGTCCGCTCGGCGGGGTCTGCCGCGAGCCGGAAGAAGCGGCGGTGTCGATCCTGGTCATCGTCCGTCTTGGTCATCGCATCGCTTGTTCGCGGATCGCACTCACGAATCGGCGACGGCAGGCCGCCGTGGACCGTGGCCCTGACTCGGGGAAGAAAGCGCTGCATGAGTGCCTGAGCATCAACTTCGGGAGCTTCGCGCACATGAATCGGATCGGCGCTGGACCTCCCTCCCTGGCACGCGGAGCCGCGCCAGGGGCGGCGTAGGAGGCGCCGTCAGGGGTCAGGGGGGCACCAGCGCCGATCCACGAAACCCGCGTGGAGCTCCAACAGTTTATGCTTACGCCGCTCTTTCTTCTTCAAGATCGGCGCCGACAAGGTCCCGCGACGTCTTGGCTATGATTTGGACGCGCGGGGGAGGTCGGCGCTGGATGGGCCCAGAAAAAATCGGTGAAGAGAAAGGATCGAACTTCTAGGGGCGCGTCCAGCCGTGGCAACGACTAGGCGAGCGCAAAATGGCATAAACATAACAACTCGGAAGTCCGCGCGGACCTCTCAGATCCGCTCGGGGCTCCAGCGCGGATCCGAGAAATCCGCGCGGACCTCCGAGATTGTATGTCTATGCCATGTCTCGCTCCCCAAACGCATGGACCCCTTCCTCTCCCCTCCCTGCTGGCCGGAGCCAGCGCTCGGCCGCTTCTGAAGCGAGCCTCCGGTGCAGCCTGCGCGTGCCGACCTGCCCCGCCGGCTCGCGCTGCCAACGCCGACGACAAGACAGGGGCGCTGTGCGGAGGGCCCATCGGTCCCCAGTGGCTCCACGCCACCTCGAGGAGGCCCAGGCGAGCGCGCGTCGAAAGGACCCCCCCCCAGAGAAAAGTCGTTTCAGCTGTGTCTGTTCGAATTACGCTTGAGCGGGGGGTATTTTTGTTCCGCCTGGGCCTCCTCGCGCCAAATTCGGGGGCGCGCAAACGTGGATTAGCGACCCATGGATGTGGCGCGCCGTCGTCAAATCCATTGGTCGGGGGGGGGGGTCTCTCCAAAATGCGGCCGGTGCCGCCTCGCTCGGCGGCGGGAACCCGCGGTTTCCCATGGAAACCGGACCCGTCGCGAATCCACGCCCCCTTGATCCATGTTTGCGATCGCCTGACAAATCGTGCGAGGTGGGCTGCTCTCGAACCGACCGGCACGACCGGCTGTGTGCCCGACATGCTGCGATGCGAGAGGGCATCGCGGGTCATGGTTCACCGACGGAGCCACGGGTGCCAGGCTAGGACCGTCGCAGCCCCCAGACTGGGGTGCTACTGGAAGCGAAGCTGGACATCCAGACACACGACACTGGTACTGGCCGGCCCATTCTTGTGGACTGGGCGGTGACCTGCGTACTCTCTGCGTACGGCCCACGCGAGCTCGCCCGCTCCCACAAAGACGGCCTTGCGGCTGCCCGGATGGTCGACGACAAGCACGACTGGTATGAGCCATGGGAGGCCATGGTCGCCCCGATGGTCTCCGAGACTCGGGGGCGACCGTCCGACGAGGCAGTGAGAATCGTGCGAAGCTACGGCGCCTGCCTGGAGGATGCCGAGCGGCCCGAGCTTTCAGCCGGATCTGGCGCGACATCTCTGGGGAGCGCGGAGATGATCCTCAGTGCCCTGGGCAGGTAATGGACCTCCACGACCTCCACGACGCCCGACGTCAGCGACCTCAACCACGACTACCACGCCGACCGCTACCATGATCCGAGGCGCCAGCGACCACAGCGACGCCCACCACGACTAGCACGCCCACCACCAGCCCGACCACCGCCGGCACGACCACCACCACAACGACCACTTCCACGACCACCTCCGCGACCACCTACAGTCCACCAACACGACCACCACAGCCGCCCCCGCCCCCCGCCCGTCTTTCCTCCCCCTCCGCCTCCCCTTCCTTGCTGGGCCGCCCCTGCCACAGCGCACGCCTCGCGCATGTCCCCCTTGCCTCCCCCCCTAAACAGCGACGTCCATTATATTTCGCGGCGGAAATTCGTGGACCAATTCAGTGAAATCAGAAAACGCAACCAGCCAGGCCAGGAGTGCCACCAGGCCAGGCCCTCAGGAATGGCCCTGGCGCTGGCAGCATCTGGGGTGGACCCCAGGACATGAGCCCCAAAACCCGGGTGTCTCCCTGCGCGATGGGGGAGGGGACCCACTTGGTTGCCCCTGGGCCGAGGAGGAGGAGGAGGAGGAGGAGGAGGAGGAGGAGGAGGAAAAGGAGGAGGAAAGACGAGGAGGAGGGGAAAAACATCAGAAGCTACAGTACTCGCTGGTCGAAGCTTGCCTGACCAGGCGGAGGAAGTGGCTGAGGCTGAGGCCGAAGCGGAGGCGGAGGCGGAGGAGGAGAAGGGGGAGGAGGGGGAGGAGGACGAGCGCCTAACGGGGGGGGCCAGTGGCGCAGGGTCCCCGGCCGTGCGTCCGTCGCCTCCGCCTCCCGGTTCTCTCCCGGCTCGTCCTCCTCCTCCTCCTCCTCCTCCTCCTCCTCCTCCTCCTCCTCCTCCTTCTCCTCCTTCTCGGCCGAAGCCGCGGCCGAGCGGAACAGGGTGCTGCTTTTCGACTTGGTTTTGCTCGCCCGCCCTCGTGGTGAGGGCACACACGTGCGGAGAGCTCCTGGAGGAACGGCTGGCCTTGTGGCGGGGCGGGCAGTGGCCGCTCCTGTGGGCCTCTGCTGTGGGCGGGGGCCCGGCGCCGCGGACACCGAGCCAGAAGCCCACGAACAAGGAGCGAGCGCGCAGAGTTCACACGTTGGCCGCGGCCGGCGAAGAGGCCCGGGCCATGGCGGCGACGGTGGGCGCCGAGCTCGCGCCACTGACCGGGGCCACGCTCGAGAAGCTCAGGGCGCGCTTCCCCGCCGAGGCGCCTCGCCCCGAGGCCCCGCAGCGAGGGGCGCGGCCCAGGCCACCTTCCGCGGAGCTGAGGGAGCAGGTCGAGCAAGAGGCTGGCAAGCTGCTGCGGCGCCCGCCTCGGCTCACGGCTCCGGGTTTGCTGGGCGCGCGGCTGGAACATCTCGCGACCAGCGCCGACAGCGGGGCGACCCTGGGCTTGCTCGCCCGCGCCGCTGCGCGGGTTGCTTTTGGAGAGCTCCCCCCCGACACGCTGCAGGCTTTGCGGACGGGGGAGCTTGTGGCGCTCGCTTGCCAAAGGCTCCGGCGAGGTCTGGCCTCTGCTGGAGGGCGCCACGTTTCGCCGCCTCGGCCTTCGCGCGCTGGCCTGGGCGCGGAAGACGCAGCTCTGCGACGCAGCTGGCGAGCACCAGTACGGAGTGGGCCGCAAGAGAAACGCAGGCCTTCCAGCGAATGGAGCGCCAGCCCGCCCGGCCTGGAGGCCATGGAGGCCGAGGTCCCGGAGGTGGCCGCTGCGCTGCGGGCGTGATACACGGGGCCAGCCACGCACCTGTGGCGGGGTGCGGACGGGCGCTACGAGACAGTGCTGGGCCACCGCGGGTTCGACCAAGGAGACCCCCTGTCCCCGGCTGGCTTCGCGGTCGGCCAGCGGGGTGCCCTGGAGCAGCTCCTAGGCGAACTGCGGCAGCTGGACGCGGAAGCTCGGCTCGTCTCGTATCTGGACGACACATACCTGGTAGCCACGGCCAACCTGGGAGTTCGCACCCTGGACGCGCTGGCGAGAGCGCTCGCGCCGATGGTGCTCGAGTTGAACGCTCGCAAGACTCTGGTATATATGGTCTCCGCGCGGACTCCAGGCGGTCCAGGGAGAGCTCGCGGCCTACTACGTACCCGAGCTGCCCGCGCTGGGCGGCCGATCTCCGCGCGCCCGGGGACCCGCGGACTGACGCCGGGGCGGCGCTCCACCTCGGCGGAAGCAACTGCGGCTTGGACGGAGCCCGGGAGCGCTTGGAGCAGTTCTGGGGCTGGATGCGCCAGCTGCAGCACGGGGGCCTCCACCGGCAGGCCGCCGCCGCGCTCCTGCGCACCTGCGCGGGCAACGCCAGCCAGCACAACCTGCAGCTGGCGCTGGCA